AAGACAAAAGATAGAGAGATAGATAGATAGAAAGATGGATCGAGAGAGAGAGAGAGAGAGAGACATGCAGACAAACAGACAGACAGATAGACAGAAACAGAGATCACACAGACAAAAAGACATACACATTATTTACATCAAAGAGTCGAAAGCATCGATCTTCCTGCGCAATGAAGTCGTCTCCAACAACAATACTCAGTTTAATTTATTTTGTTTTTGTTTGTTGTTTATCTAAATAAACGTTTGTTGATATCTGAATTATATCCGAGGAACATGTAACGAAAAAGAGAAAAGAAAAAAAAAAAAAAAATCGTAAATTGTGAAGACAAACTAAAACTCGTAACTTGAGTCATAAACATAAACATTATTGATATTACTCTTTGATATCATCATCTCTTTCCTCCTCACCATCATATCAACATCATCATAACCTCATCACCCTACAGTCACCACCCACAACCCACAACTTCATTTCCAAGCAAAAAAAAAAAAAAAAAAAAAAAAAAAAAAAAAAAAAAAACATCATCCTCATCATCACATCAACATCATCATCACCAACATCATCACTATACAATCATACAACTTACTCCATTCATCTCACAAAACCCCAAAAAATCGACGCAAAAAAAAAAAAAAAAAAAAAAAAAAAAAACGAATTTGACAAATCTTTTTCGTTCTGCAAGTTGCCGGATATTACCCAGGAGACGTTGCAAGACAAAGGCAACGATAACCTAGCGTGCAATGCGTGCAAACCCAGCTCTGCAATCTAGATAACGCAGTCGGTCTTGGGGTTGATGGCCTGCTGTTTCATTTGATCTTTTTTGGGGGGTTGTTATTCGTTTTGAAAGATGGTTCGTTATATCGGGGTGGTCACAGGGGAAGGGGGTAGATCATGTGTACTGGGTGTCCCTTTCTTTGTGTGCGTGTGTGTGTTTGTGCGTGTGTGTGTTTGTGTGTGTATGTTTGTGTTTGTGCGAGTGTGTGTGTTTGTGCGAGTGTATGTGTATTTATGTGAGTGTGTGTGTATGTTTGTGCGTGTGTATGAGTGTTTTGTGTGTGTGTTGGTTGTGGAGTGTGTGTGTATTTATGCGAGTGTGTGTATGTTTGTGTGTATGTGTGTATTTGTGCGGTGTGTGTATGTGCGTGTGTGTATGTTTGTACGTGTGTGTGTGTTTGTGTGTGTGTGTTTCTTTCGGACCCCGTCTCTCTGTCTATCTTTTTATCAATCTATCCATCACCATCTACTCACAAAAAACAAAATCTTATATTCCTAGCCATAAAAAAAACAAAATTATGACAAGAGATCTATAACCACGAATAAATAATAATAAAAATTAAAAAATAAAATAACAATAATAATAATAAAAAAAACAAAAAAAAAAAATGAAAAAGAAGAAGAAAAAAATTATGGTTTAGTTCCATAAAAATCAGTCATTCAAAAAAGACACATCGTACCCAATTCATAAAACTAATATATGAAAAATGATGGACGTCTGATGGTTATGGAGATAACAATGGGCGAGTCGCAGATTTTTATATAAACACAAAACAGTCAGAAATCATAAGGAATGGGTTAGGAATGATAAACTTAAATCTGTCAATTTGTATTTTTTTTCTCTCTCTCTTTCTCTCTCTCTCTCCCTCCATTCTTCTCTTCTCTCTCCTTTCTCTTTCCTCCAATTCTTCTTCTCCCCCCTCTCTCTCTCCCCATCTCTTCCTCTCTTCTTCCCTCCCACTCTCTCTCCTCCATCTCTTCTCTTCCTCTCCCCCTCCCTCTCTCTCTCTCCCCTCCATTCTCTCTTTCCCCTCCCTCCCTTTCCCATCCATTTCTTCTTCTCTCCCTCTCTCCCTACATCTCCCTCACGGAAGAATAATCGAATAAAATAAGGTAAATTAGTTACATTCCTCTCCCTCCTTCCCCCCGTTGTGGGTTTACGCCGCGCCACGTGGTGGTCTTCTTCTCTTCCTCTTCCTCCCTCCCTCCCTCTCCCCTCCATCTCTTTCTCCTCTCTCCCTCCCATATCTCCTCATGGAAGAATAATCGAACAAAAAAAAAGTTAATTAAGTACATTTCTCTCCCTCCCTTCCTCCGCAGTGGGTTCCTCTCTCCCTCCCTTTCCCCTACTTCTCTTCCTCTCTCCCTCCCTCCCTACATCTCTCTCATGGAAGAATAACTGGATAAAATTAAATTAAATTAAGTACATTCCTCTCCCTCCTCCCTCCCTCCGCAGTGGGTTCATTTCCCTTCTCTTCTCTCTCTCCTCCCTCCCTACATCTCTCTCATGGAAGAATAACTGGATAAAATTAAATTAAATTAAGTACATTCCTCTCCCTCCCTCCCTCCGCAGTGGGTTCACGCCGCGCCACGTGGTGGAGTTCGGACACTCTGCCTTCAAACACCAGAACAACGAAGTGCGTAAGGTGGGCGAGCGTCTCCTGCTGGCGCTGTACCCCCACTTCCCGTCCACCGTCAGGAAGGCCCTGCCCCTCCAGGATGACT